GGCATTGAAGATAATAGATAAATGGGTTAGCACCTGCTCAGGAAAGTGTTTTAGGGCTTGGTTGGAGATGCCATCCGCGCACGGAGCCTTTTTAGGCTTAAGTCCTTTGATGAGGGATGAAATCTCATCATTGGACACAGAGATAGGTTCGGAGGCTGTAGGGGGTGAGTTCCGGCGGCGGACCTCACCCTCCACTGCCTGGACGTGTGAGGGGTCGACGGGTTGAGAGCTAGGAGAGCATTGATCGGCAATGCTGTCTGCAAAGCACTCAGCCTTTTCCTCGTCCTCGAAGGCTACCGTATCGTCGGGACGGGAGAGAGGGGGAGTGTGGGTGATAGCGTCTATGCGGAGGGCTCTTGCCATCTGATAGTACGCTGTATGACAGGGAGAGATATTCTCCATGAGCTTACTCTTTTCGAGGTCTCGAAATTCAGAGAGGCGGAAACGGAGTTCTCGTTGAAGACGATTGGCCGTGCGCCTATATTCGGGCGTGGGATATTTTGCTGCTCTCCGAAAAGCAGCTTTTTTGGCTTTTAATAGGTTGCTAATATGCAGGGGAAGCCCACTATTATTAGCAATCAGGACGACCCTTTCATTCTCCTTAAGGGAGGTTTTAATAAGGGTGGAGAGTGAATCGACCGCGGTGTCGATTTTTTCGGGACTGTCTAAGTCCAACGATAGGGAGATGGGGGAGTCCTGTGAGTCCAGAGCTTTCGCTAGGGACTCCTTGAAGCCCTTCCAATTTGTGAAGGTTTTAGTAGAGCGTGTTGAGGGGGCTGGCTGATGGCCAAGAATGAGGGAGACCGGTTTGTGGTCGGATCCTAGATCGTCTAGTGTCTCGATTGCCCTGAGGTTGAGGGAAACACTTTTGAATAGTGCAAAATCTAGCATGTCGGGAGCGTAATCGGTGATATCGGGATAGTGAGTAGCACCGAGGGGACTGTGGACGGTAAGGTCAAGAGACTGCGTGATATCGAGCAGTATCCTGCCACTACGTGAAGTAGTACGGCATGTCCATTCAGTATTCTTGGAGTTAAAATCTCCAAACATAATGACTGAATTGCCTAGAGATAAAATAGCCTCAAAATCTTTTTTGAGGGGAAGGGTTTTAGAAGGAATGTAACAGGAGGCTATGAAGATGGACTGATGTCCAGTCATAGCTAGCCTGCATACCGTGGCTTCCATGTTGGAAAGTTGCGGAGTAGAAATGGGAGAGCAGTGAAGTGTCTTCTTGTAATAAATGGCCGTACCGACGCCTCGGCGGTCGGGTCTGTCATTACGAAGAAGAGAGAAGTTTTTAATGGAAAGGCCTTTAGTGTCCTTAGTATTGAGATTAGTTTCCTGTAGGAGGAGGAAATCGGCTTCACGATTTCGAAGAAAGAGCTTAAGCTCTGGGAGGTTATTTCGCAACCCGTGAATGTTAAAGGATACAAGCGATAAACCCTTAGGTTTGATACGACCGTGAAACTTTGGTAGAGCAAACTGCTCTGTCATTGTGAATTAAGTTAATTAAGTTAACTTAACTTACAACGAGCACAAAAGATTATGATGCTCTGCAAGAGCGAGGAGACGGTCCTGAGGGGACCTCGCAGCGCGCGATTTGCGTGCTAACACAGCGATTTCCCCAACGTCAATGTTCCTAATAGCGGAATACACCGTTTTTAGGTCATCAGCCATTGAGGGCTGTGATTGTTGTGGGGCGGAGGATGTCCGCGGTGGGTCTGCCTTTTTGGGGCCCCAGAGAAAGACTGGAGGCTGCATAGGCTGACAGAAGCCCGGAGGGGGCCGAAGAGGTCCCTGAGGGAGCCTAGGGGGACCCTTAGAGGGCCGAGAGAAGCCCTGGATGGGCTGAGAAAGGCCCTGACGGGGCATCCGTTGGTAAAGAGCCGGGAATGAGCGGTCATTGACCGGCGGTGGAGCTTGCCTACTGCGGCGAGGATGAGGTGCGCAAGGGCAGCCTCTGTAGTTTGCCGGGTGGCCTGTTTGTTTACACAGGACACACGCGGGTGGGGATTCGGCGTCTTTGGGCCGAGGACACTCTTTAGTGTTGTGGGGTTCAAGGCACTTAACGCACCTGGGTGGGGCGGAGCAGTTGGCCGCCGCATGACCATACAGCTGGCAGCGGTGGCACTGCGCCGGGAACCCGCGCCTATGTGGAGGCTCAACTTTCACTCTCGACAGGCCGCACACTGTGCGTACCTGCCGGAAGATGGGTTTCGCCTCCGGCACGTTAGAAAGGATGACGAGGGCAAGCGAGAACCTCTGGCCTGTTCTACTGTGCATTTTGTGCACGGCTTCTACGGGGAATCCTTGGGACTTAAGGTCCTCGAGGATTTCTTCGTTGGAGAATTCGAAAGGGACACCGCGGATGACGGCCCTGTCTTTGCGCTCTTCCGGAAGAGCGTACGTATGGTAAGAAACTCGTTCGGCTGTGAATAGCCTGGTGAGACGACGGAAGTCGTCGATTGATTGGGGGATGATTTTAATCGCCTCCCCGAGGTTGATGGCGTTATCGTATTTTATTCCTGCGTTGTAGCAGGTTTGGATAGTCCCGTGAATTTTGCCTTGTCTCTTAGGAAGACAGGGGGCGGGACTTGCTTTTTGGCAAGGACTGGAGCACAGCGAGAGGCTGGCTTGGTCGGAGCGGGGATGTCTAGTGACAAAAGTGGGGCCGAGGCAGCGACGGGGGTTGCGGGGGCAAAGGCGGCAGCGGGAGCTGCGGAGGTTGAAGGAGCGGCAGGGGCCGCTGAGACAGGGAGGGTGTGGTTTTTCGCGGCGCATTTACCGCTGCGCTTGGAGTTCACCGTGTTGAACGAAGAATCACCGGTTCCGTCGGAGTCACCGGACTCCGATGAACCGGTGCCAGAATTGGTGGCGGGCCTCTTCCGGGAGGCCGACGCAGAGGACTCGGAGCATGCGTACTCCATTTCTAATGGGGCGAAAGAGTTCTTGGTCTCTAGGTAGGCCGCAAGTACGGGCGGCGGTTGGAGTGCCTGACGGGCAGGGGGAGTAACATGGGCGGCGATGGCGGCGAGGGCCGTCTCATCGAGGTTTAGGCCCAGACCAAGAGTTTGGTTTAGGGCGGCGACGAGGGACTTAATTTGGGTAACTGTGGACATGTTGAGGGCAGTAGTTTTACGAAGCAGTACGTATTTGAAACGGAAGGGGCTAGGGGGTACTGTTCTGAAAAGAACAGAGACGTTCTATACCTAAGCAGTAAGGGCGGGATCACCGTTCTCAAAAGAACGGGACGTTCTTAATTCAAGGAGTAAGTGCCCCTGCTCTCAAAAGAGCAGGGCCTTGCTCTGAAAAGAGCAAGTAACTCCCTAGAAACAGTATATACACGTACACGTTATACAAATAAATAACGAAAACAAAATTAGAAATAGTTAACAATAAGAATTAACAATAAAAATAACAATAACAAGCAGAGGTCAGTAAACCTCCCCTCCCAAAGACAGGGGGGCAAGAACTGTTAGCAGAAATGACTCACCAAAGCGTCGTCGCTGTACAGCGCGAGCAGGACAGCGGAGGCGCGAGAGCGAGAGCGAGGGAGCACTACCGTACGGGGACGGATGCGCGGACTACCTGGACACGACCGCTCGAGAGCGGTGCTACAGGCGGAATGTGAAGGCCAATGATAGGTTGGCGCGATTTAAATAATGATTACTCAGGCGGCGCGAGCGCTGAAGGCGTTTAAAAGAGTAAAAACGAAGTCATCCGGACGGCTACGAAGGTACGAAGGCAGTGGAACGGTATCGGGCATTGCCGACCTCAACCGACACGAACACCGCGTCGGCGCGTACGCTGTTCAATATACATAATATTCAAAACTGACAGAAATTGTTTGTAGTTGTATATTGTTGTACTCGTATTACAGACGTACACGATGATTATCTTTATTATGGCGTATTTAAAAATTGGAATCAAGTATTTACAACTATTAACAATTTAAAACGATTTTACATCTTAAATATGCAATCAACTAAAATAACACTAACTTATTGATATTTTAATAGGTGTTCAAAATGAAGTCCGTTTCTCACAATGCACAATTGAGCACGTTTCAACACTGTCGGCCGGCCGGCCAGCCAGGTGAACGTACCCAGAGGTGTAATGGAAGGGAAAAGGTGGGAAGACGCGTTTGTTTTTACCGAGTCAAAACAACTATTAGATACCTAATCTGTAACTGAGCGCGAGCGCCGAACGCCACCAACTGCTTCCGAACTCAACACTCCCTTACGAATGTGTGCGTGCGATTTATAAATGATAAGCAATTAAAATAATGCATTTCCACACATTTTGAATATAAATGATAAAAAGGATAAAATGTTTCAGTATTTTTCTTGTTTATTTTTTTTTCACCATTCGCTTATGTTATCTATTCTGAACCTCCTCTACAAATTTGGCCCGTTATTGCAAAATAACCATGTATATATTTTACTGTATTTGTAAAAATGGAATACTATTTTACTCTTATAGTTATTGTAATAATATACGAATATAAATAATAAACACAACTTAGGTAGCAAAGAACCGTACACTACGACGCGGTGCTTCGTTTTAAATCACCAAATTTTCTTGCGGGTGTACACCGGTATAGCGCGCGGCACGTGCCAACGCGGCGCGAAACAAAGGCAACCGTATCGTATCTAAGCGAACGGACTGTATTAGATTCTCTTACTCAACCACCACACAAAGAGAAAGAGCCCTACATTTTAGTAGTTTCAGATTAATGTATTCATGGTTTTTTTTGGGTTCATTTTCAGTCATCATTTTTCCCCGAGCATAGCCGAGAAACCCCAAGCATAGCCCTCTCTATAGCTCACTGAGTGACCTTGAGCTTCCTCATACGGCCAGCAGTGAAGGACCACCAATGATTGTACAATCTTTTTTTCAAGTTTTGATGTATACCTACCGAGAAGATTTGTCGTAATCTTCCCTAAATTATACCCCCATGGCGAGAATAGGCCCATGTCGGTGACGATTACAAGTTGAGCATGATGTGTTTTTTCACGTATCCTGAAGCAGCAGCTAAATACAGAGTCCAGGATGGTCCCACCAGCAGGCAGTTGCCCACAGTACTACTTCTAAGTGAGGGTCAGGAGAAAATGAGGAGGCCACAACCTGATCACAGTGGCAAGCTTCAGAAGTTAGTATCTGCTTGCTTAATTTTCCTGTATCTATATTTGCATGTAACCTAGAATTTATGTTATGGATAGCTGTAATCTTGGGTCTTCGGGAAGGAAATAATGTTGGTTATGCTCTTAGCTCGCTAATCCATTAAGGCTGGATCAGTAAGCTGGCAATGAGCAGGCATATAGGTCGAAGGACCGACAACCCATGTTGAAAGGTTCTCGAGTAGGAGTCCTATAGATGGAGTGACGACCTGGTAAGAGATGCAGCGTCTCTGGATGCAGATGGCTCCGAACCATGCTATGAGCAATTCCTTGGGGAAAGCCTATGTTCAGCAGTGGACTGTAAAGTTAGTGATGATCATGTTTTCACTGAGATTACCGTTACTGTTACTGCTTATTAAAGTCCAATGCTGAACATAGACCTCCCCCATAGATTGCCTCATATGGGGGATATTTGCCATAGTTGCCACGCTTGACAACCGCAGTTTTTTATTATTAATCGATATTAGGAAAACGCTGCTGCCTATCTTCTGATTTGTTTCCCTCTGTCGCCTCTTACGACTGAAAGCTGTACAATTATTTTAATTGTTAGACCCTGCCCTTTTCGCATAAAATCTTTTGCCCCCATCAGCCTGTAAGATTTTACAGCTGGGCATGGTTTTCTTCTTTTTTAGATAAGATCCGCCTTAATCACGCTCGGCAGGTGGTTTAACTATCGCAGTATCAGACGTGAGCATATTTGACGATGCTGCCCGTCAACTGTCTGTTCTCAGTCTGGGTATTTTAGGTCTGCAGTAAATGAAATGGTTATACCGCCATCTTTTCTTTTTCATGGAATAAGTGTGACAAGCAAGCACACAGCCCTTTTTGAAGCTATACTGTTTTTCTAGCATTTCCTTTATTCCCCTTTTACGGCACCCACGGGACGGAATGGATACCGGATACGGTAGTATATGTGAACCATTCTACTTTTAACCGGTAGACGGGTGACAAACGAGCACACAGTCCACCTGATGGTAAGTGGTTGCTGTGGTCCATAGACATCTACATCTATCCTTGATTACGAATCAAAATGCAGATGCGTTGTCACCCGTGAAGACTAAGATAGAATGCCTCGCTTTTAATAAAAAGGGTCTGGTTCTCCACACTCACCGTACGAAACACAGCAGCGTTAAAACTAAATTTTACGCTGGTATTCTGTGAGAGCCTGGTCCTTCCCCGGTCGAGCCGACCAATTTGTGTTACAGTTATACTACCAATATAGCTACGTAAAAATATCTATAATTTCAACATCTGTAATTGCCATATACTAAGAAATAAACGATATTCTATTCTATTGCATCATAAACCTTTTCCCGAGTTATTTTTTTAAATTTCAATTTGCAAACTTTAACCGTGTAGTGGCTGTGTAAGAATATCCACTAACCCATATCGTCCCCTGGCTATCGTAAGAGGTGACAGAGGAAAATTCCATATAAGAACACAAAATAGTAAAAAACTGGTTAGCAATACCAGGCGGGTAACCAAGTCATGCGTGGCAACTATGGTCAAATTCTCCTTATGAAGAATCCCAATCTATGGGAGAGACCTATGTTCAGCCAGGTCAGTTATGACATTTATAGGCTGTAATGGATGGATGCAAACTCAATACCATTAGAAGTTTCAACAACTAAACAAATTAATTCCAGGTTCCTATTCTCTAAAGACAACCTGAAGGCAGCTTTCGACTTGGACGGTCTTTATCAAGATTGCAAAGACAAGCTTGCGTCGGCGAAAGCTAACAAGAAGACCGAGAAGACCAAAGAGAAATTCGATAGTTACTAATTTTTAAGCGCAACACTACTTAAATGTTAAAGTATAGAACGGAAATAAAAAAACAGCTACACACTGCAGTGGAGAAATAATAGGTACCAGAGTAAAGGACTAATTCCATATTATTTTGTGCATTTTTTAAATGTTTTATTAAACAAATTGTGACATTGGCTACAAGGTCTTTAGCCAAAAAGAAAAAACTTTAAATGTTAACAAATTTCTTCACAATATATTGATGCGTCACACTGCAATATTTTTCGGAGATTTTGATGGCAACTCAAGCCAGCAGACTTGACAGTTCCTGCCAAAATTTAAATTTTTTTGAATGTATTTTTAAGTGCCATTTATATTAGATCTGATTATTGTATGTAGTTAGACTGACAGACAAAAAAAATGTTTATTAAAAAATTTTGTAAATAGCTTTTATTTACACTGAAATTTTATTAGCTTGTTGAAACTATTTTTATTCGATATAAACCAACATCCATTAATGATTTTCAGTTCAGTCAGTTGAAAGCATGATTATATATTTACCAATACATAACCTATCTTAGTCCTCAGGGGTGACAATGCATCTGCATTTTGATTCTTAATCGAGGGTAGATATAGATGTCTATGGGCCACAGCATCCACTTACCATTATGTGGACTATGTGCTCGTTTGTAACCCTTCTTCTTTAAATAGAAGTTTTAGTATAAATAACTTAAATAAGAGATTAAATTATCTATTGAGTATAGCCCAGGCCAACCAACTCACTAACTTTCAATAATCAAGCCATGGTACTGCTATGTATAAACAAATCGCGAAACAGATATTCTAAACATTAGATGTAATTTGGTAAATTACTAAAATTAAAATTAAAACCGCACGTAACTCTGCGCAAAGTACGGTTAAAACCAAAGAGTATATTTTAGTATAAATAACTTAAATAAGAGATTAAATTATCTATTGAGTATAGCCCAGGCCAACCAACTCACTAACTTTCAATAATCAAGCCATGGTACTGCTATGTATAAACAAATCGCGAAACAGATATTCTAAACATTAGATGTAATTTGGTAAATTACTAAAATTAAAATTAAAACCGCACGTAACTCTGCGCAAAGTATGGTTAAAACCAAAGAGTATATTAATTATACGAAGAGGAAACTCTGTTCTTTGATATTCAAGTTTGTGCCAACGAAGGTATCCACTATTTTTTCTGCCACCAGGGCGGCGCCACTGAGGAATGAGGTGAAATATTTAACCGATTTCATAATAGGTAAGTTAATTTCTTAGAAAAGTCTCGAGATTAATGTTTCTTCCTGAAATATTAGTTACTTTTTATATTATTAACATTGGAAATGGATAAACCAAACAAGATATTCTTAAAAGTAGAAAATTTAAAGTGTGCAAAACATTAAAAAGCAAACCACTCAGGCATTGTTGTTTTGTATTGAAATACTCTAGAAACCGATAAACTTTTATTAAAAATATAACTTCTCAGTTATAATGACGTTGTGTACCAACTCACTTCTCACCTCAGTCACAACTGACAGAACACAAACACCTGGTGAGCGGTAGATTATGAGCACTCATTGACACAAAATTATTTCATATATTTAGGCGAATATAATACATTGAATAAAACTAATTTTACGTATTTTATCGCGTTCAATTTCAACATTTAATACCCGACGAATCGGGCGCTTTCTGCCCCTCTAGCATGGGCGGGGGATAAAAATTTTATCCCCCGATTATGTCCACTGACACTGACAAGAGATAAAGTTATCTTGTTATGTCAAACGGGGAGAAGTATATCCCCGTTTGACATAACGAGTAGACATATATCCCCCGTCCGTGGAGCCAAATGAAAGATAAAAAATTATGCTTTTTTGACATTTGAAAGGGACAATTTTATTCTAGTTCATTGGACGTGGGTTGAAGTTTATATTTATACAAAAAAATCTATCTAAGTCTATCTCCCATTTTATCTACTGTGGATATTATATCCACCGGTGTGCCCATGCTCTAAGGGTGGATAAAACTAAGCGAGAGGATAAACATTTTCTCCTTTCCCCAGGGATAAAATTGTCCCCCGCCCATGCTAGCCGGGCTGGTCACAATGGGGAATTAGGTATTCGATATCCTACTGTTATAGTTAAATTAATTTTTTTTTTTATAAAAAATACTAGTAATGCTATTAAACATTACTAATATTCCCTTTAACCACTTCTGGTAAGCTTAAAATGCTTGTGTTAGAAGTGGTTCACGACAGTAGTCGAATGGCGGATTCGAACCCACGACCTTTCGGGTTCGCGGTCCACGCCCTACCATTAGGCTACTGACACTTCCTTTTATCTAAAGAAGTCGAATAATTTGCCGCTCACCAGATGTCGCTAGTTGAGACCCTAAAGTTATTTTTACACAGTGTCACCTATAAGGGAAAAGTTGTGCTTAAAAAGAAGTTTTTCGGTTTTTAATATATGTATGTACTAGCTGTTCCCCGCGACTTCTTATCCACTACAGAAAAGTTAAAAAAAAAAAGTTATATTTTTCTTTATTTTTTAAAAGTTTATTGTCATTATGTCTGCAGGTGGTTCTATTAGTCCTAAAAAGGCTATAGCTATACGTTTAATAAATCTGTAGAAAAGTGTGTGTGTGTCAAAATGAAACTTATCGCGCCACCAACCAGAAAGGGCAGAATAACGTCTACTGGGACAGCGAGTAAGTAATAAATGTAAATATGTATCTTTTCAAAAAGTAGAATATAAATTAAAAATATATCAACAATTAATATCACAATTCAAAAAATACAATGACGAGGATCCGCTTACTGGCAGAAATTGTTGTGGTTGTCCTCGGGTTTTCAGAGGTGTTTTCTTTTTATTTATTTAGGGGTTTTATCCTGAACGGATATGACGGCCCCATATACTAAAAAAAACATATTGTGAAGAACTAAGAATTATTGATGTTTCATAACCATATAAATCCAAAAATTTACAGCATCTGTCAGTGGTTCTGCTAACACAATTGAACAAACACCTAAATTGCACATATTTATTTTAAAACTGCATCAATAATTCTTTTTCTCTTTGCCGGTGAAATATTATATCTCTTGTATATTCCATGCTATCCATGCGTCATCTCATTTTAGTGAGCAGTTAATTTTGTGTGGTGAAAAACGAGTCCATCGCTATTTTATGAAACTAGTGTCTCAGAGATTGTATGTCAGTTCTAATTTATTTCTTAGATTTTATAAAATAAATGTTTGTTTTATTTTTATTACTGCAACTACAGTTGCCATCCTTACTAAATATGAAGCCCGATTTATATAGTTCCAATGATTATACACAGTAGGCGAAAAAGCCGGCTTATTTATTATATTCAGTTGTGTGTTGTAATAGTAATAAAAATAAATTATTTATTGTTATTGAAAAAGTTGAGGAATAAGCATCCTTTATGTAAGGCGCACAGTACTATTACTCTCTACCGAGAGAAGAACGCCAACAACAAAAGTTTAACACAATTAACATTTTCAGTTTCTTTCGATATATGTATATTTATATCTAATTTTCAAAATGATAATCTGAAACAACGCAAAAAAAAAGAAACAGCTATATCTTTTTCTCGCTTTAATTTTATACGCCCAATCCACATATACACAAAATTATGATTTTGTGAAAGTTTCTCGGATTTCATACGAACTTGCATTACCCTGATAAGGCGGCTTAAGAATATAATTCATCCACCGCTACTACACGGCATAATAAATGTACTATTATCGCTAACGAATTTAATCATTTATCTGTTATGGTTGAGCGAAGATAATTTTTTACTCTCTTTAGACATGACAAACTTCGCTTCTCTCACTACTGCAATAAGGGCTAATAATTTTCTGCTCACCAGATGTCGCTGGTTGACACTGAGGTAAAGTTTTTTGTTACACAATGTCTGTTAATTGAGAAGTTAATTTTTAACAGAAGTTTATCAGTTTCTAAAGTATTATATTAATACACAAAACAATGTCTCATTGGTTTGCTCTTTGACTTCTTGCACATTTAAAAAAAATCTACTTTTATGAATATCTGCGGTTTGTTTTATTTATTTTTAATCTTATTAATATAAAATATAGCTTATAGTGCAGAAAGCAACGTTACCCTTTACATTTTTCGAACAAATTAACTTCCCCGCTATGAAATCTGTCAAATATTATACCTCACTTTTAAGTGGTGCCGCCCTGGTGGCAGAAAATGTGGAAGCCCTCATTGCTGACTAGCGTCGATATTCACATTCTTCGTGTAAGATGTTTAGCGCGCGCCTCTAGACACGTGCCTAGTTTGCCTTAAGGATAATCCACCACTGCTTTATCGCGAGCGAAATCAATAGATCGTCAAAATCCTATTCTTCAAACTTTTGCAGATACTTCAGTTTTCAAAGATAGAGATCATTCGCTCTCTTTCATTTATATAGAGATGGAACGAAATAAAACACATAATGTATGACTAGAAAATTTATTTTTACAAACAAAAGAAGGTAGAATCACAGAATCTATACATATAAATAAAATTGAAGTGTCTGTCTGTAATATAGGGATAACTGGCTTCTATTAGCTCAGCCCAGGGAGTTATTTTTGCATGCTATCAAGGCATGAAAACTTTTATATCTATCTTTGCCAAAGGCGTCAGCAAAAGGGCAGCTCCCCCCCTCGCCCCATAGACTCAAAAAATACAGTGAAATGCAACCAGTCTTATTTATTGTATAGTCAAAAGCTCGTGGAGCTTTACACATTACAATTTGTACCGTTCTTATCACAGTTTAGACCTTACAGTTGGGAAACGAATGTACTTGTGCAGAACGACCGTGGGGGCACCACTGCGGGGCAATACATGCGGTTGGCGCGAGCATGTTTTATAGTACTTATTTCCGTTTTCGAAAAAATCTATATATCTATAATGGCGAATTACTGTTATAGTTGTATGAGTTACTAAGTAAAATTGAATTCAAATGACGGTCTCGTTTATGGTTCTCTC